CTTCTCAAAACCTCAAACTCTTCCGTCAACCATCCGAAATCACCCCGAGGCCCCCGGTACCTCAACCAAAAGTACAAACATATCCCGTAACCTTATTCAAACTTGTACCAATCTTCAGAACACCTCAAACAACATCGAAATCACCAAAACTCATCGAATTCAAGCCTAAGGTTCTAAATTCTTCCGCATTCCGCTTTTGATCAAAACCCAGTCAAACCACGTCCAAATGACCTGAAATTTTGCACACACATCCCAAATGACATGAAGAAGCTACTGCAACTTCCAGAATTCCATTCCGACCCCTATATCAAAATCTCACCTATCAACCGGAAAACGCCAAAAACTTAATTTCGCCAATTCAAGCCTAAATCTACTCCGGACCTCCAAAACACATTTCAATCACGCTCTTAAGTCCCAAATTATCTAATGGAGCTAACCAAATCATAAAAACTCCAATTCGAGATCATATACTAACAAGTCAAATCTTGGTCAAACCTTTCAAATTTCAAGCTTCAAACTGAGAACTGTTCATCCAAATTCATTCTGATCCCCCATGAAAACCAAAACCAACGATTTACATAAGTCATAATACACTGCACGGGGCAAGTCATGCTCGAAAACTGGCGAGCGAAGTGCAAAAGCTCAAAACGACCGGTCGGGTCGTTACAAAATCTCTCATGAAAGAGGATGAGGATGTATTCTTGAAAGGGAGATTTGCACATATTTACAACGCAACATACTGTATTGCGCTTACATAATTATGTTTTTTACTTTTGATCCGCATAGTAAATATTTATTTTGCTATAGTACATATACATGTTTAACCTAAGGCTATCTAACGAGACAGGACAAGATAGAACATAACAAGAAGTTAACGGGATAAGGAGCTCTGGAACTTAACTAGACCAAAATAGCCAGTACGACCCACTAGGCCCGTTCCATCCCACTAACTAACAGGACGAGATGGGAGGGGACACGGGCTCTTAGTAGGCTTCTTTTTTTAATTTTTTAAATCTAAAATAGAAGCACTAAAATTATAAAAAATTTTAAAACAAGCAACAAATACTTTTAAAGTTGGCATACTTGGAAACGTCTAGTTTTTTAATAAACTTCAAATTTAATAAATTATAAATAAGCTAAGCACGAAATTAAAAAATATAAAAAGGCTTGTAACAAAAATATTTTAATATACAATGCACAAAAGCGCGATAAGAAAAGTAAAAGGCAAGTCACAGACAACAATCATTTTTGCTATATTTCTGCGATCTCTGTTTTTATTATAGGGACATTGTATACCACTCGTAATAGGGTTAAACTGTTGTTGGACATAATTAGAACCCCTGCCAGATCCAGTAGATGAACCAAAAGTGTTGCTAGTATCCGGTATCTCTCGTGCATCTATTTGAGCTTGTATCCACATAGCTTTGTGTCTAGTTTCTAAATGTCTCCTTAAATCCCCCGTCCCACCTGCTTTTATACCCACCCCATGTACAAATGGTGATTTACATTTGTTACAAGTAGCAATACATGCATCTTTACCGAATGTAAAAAAATATCATACAAGAGATGTTCCTTGACGTGTTACCTTAATCTTACCCTTAGTAGAAGGTACAAAGGATTCAGACCGAGATTAAATCCAAGTTGGTGTTTCTGAAACTGGACTAGTGGGTATTTTATCTAATTCATCTTCTTCATTTTCTTCTTCTTCTACATTAATACTAAAATCTTGCTAAACTGTCTTTCTAAAGTTACGTTATCTAGTGGCTCCTCCGAATTAATATCGTAAAAGGCGGAGGGTTGGCTAGAGGAAGTTTTCCATCAACATGAGTATAATCCTCTATGTGTTTTCTAGTTTTACAAAAAGGATTAGGATTACTATTAGAACTAGCACCTTTGCTTTTTTTTTTTTTTAAAAAAAAAAATGGGTTGGGTATGTCTAATATTATTTAGGAGCCATAATTTAAATGCGAAATTAAACACAAAAATTAAACACGATAATTAAATATAAAAATGAAATACGAAAATTAAGAGATGGAACGAGTGTACCGTAATTACATATTAAAACTTAAAGAATTTGCTGCTCCAAATACTTGAAGAATTAATTTGAATCTTGAAACTTTCTCTAAATATTTGCCCAAATACTTAATAATTAGATGATTGTGAAAAAATAGATAGAAGGATAAAGATATAACACACACACACACACACACACACACACACACACACACACACACACACATATATATATATATATATATATATATATATATACATACATACATACATACATACACACACATATATATAGATAGAGAGAGATAGAGAGATAAAATGAGAGAATTGCGGAAAAAAAAAATAACCTTGGAGATGGAAGGTATTTATAGTTAAAATTAGGGCCAAAGTATAATTTAATAACCTTGGAGATTAAGATAAAAGTTGGAGGGGGGGGGGTATTTTGGGGGTTAGTGGGTTAAATTAGCCCCTTTTTGCTATTGCCGACGGCTATTTTTCAAAAGTTAGTCATTGATCAACGACTATAATTTTTTAAAAAATAAGAGGGACACCAGTTCGGGACAGAGCCAGGGTCGGGCCGTAGCCTGGACTAAAGTAACATTCCATCCCGTCCCACGTCCCCTGACCCCTACCCCTCGTCCCCTTGATGCTTATTGAATCGGGCCAGGTCGGCTCTTCCTATCCCGTTGGACACCCTTAGTTTATCCAAAAAATTAGGTTTAAAACAAACAATTGATTTTGTAATTTTAAACCACTAGGAAGTAAATTTATTCAAAGTGCGTATAATAAAAAGAAAACCAATAACAAAATAAAATGAAATTAACATTTAGATAAAGGAATTCGTATTGAGCGTCGGCCCACGATATGTCTATGTTAGAATGAAGTACACTCACTAGGGATATAATGAAAAAGATAATTTTCTAGAAGACTATGTAAGTATACAGTGAATAATCAAATGTACCGCGAGCAATCAGATGTATGTTATATATGAGTACAACAACAACAACAATAACAACAACAACAACAACAACAACAACAAAAATTTAGTATAACCACACGTGACACGGACCTTACTCCTACCGTAAATGTAGAGAGACTAGTTTCAACAGACCCTCGACCCAAGGAAAGACAAAAATAAAGCAGTAGCAGCAAGAAATAATGAGAACAAGATAATAAGAAAATAAGACGAAAGGAACAACATGTAGTGAAATCTAACAATAATAGAATTCAAGATTGACACTAATAACACTGGAATTGTCAGGAAAAACATTCAAATATCTACTAACCTTCTACCTTAATCCTTAACCTCCACACCTTTCCATCTAGGATCGTGTCCTCGACTAGCTGAAGCAATGCATATCTTACCTAATCACCTCTCACCAATGCTTCTTTGGTACCTCTATCTCTCCTCAGACCTACCAAGAAAACCTCTCATAGCTTCTTTCTGGGACATCTATGCTTCTCCTTTTCACATGTCCAAACCATCTAAGTCTCGCTTCCTACATCTTGTCCTCCATGAGGGTCACTCCCACCTTGACCAGAATATTTTTATTCCTAGTCTTATCAATTCCTAGTATGCCCGCACATCCATTTCTACTTTCTCATATCTGCTACTTTTATCTTTTGGACATGGGAGTTCATGACTAGCTAACACTCTGCCATACAAAATAGTCGGTCTATCTACCGCTCGATCGAACTTACCTTTTAAGTTTGGGTGGGACATTCTTATCACATAAAACATCGGGTGCGAGCTTTCATTTCACCCACCCCCGCTCCAATATGATGTATAGTATCCTCATCCAACTCCCCATTTCCTTGGACTATTGATCCTAGTTACTTGAAACTATCTCTCTTGGAATGCATTGTATATCAAGCCTCACGTCCAAGTCCGCTTCATTAGTAACTTCACTCAACTGATGCTCCAAGTATTCTATGTTGGTCCTACTCAACTTGAAATCTTTAGTCTCTAGGGTCTATCTCCAAACCTCCAATCTCGCGTTAATGCTGCCTCACATCTCGTCTATCAGTAAAATATTATCTGCAAATAACATGAATCATGGTACCTCCCCTTGAATGTGACGCGTGAGTATATCCAACTCTAAGGAAACTAAAAATGGGCTAAGAGCTGACTCCTGGTGCAACCCCATCACAACTAAAAGGTGGTCCGAGATTTCTTCCACTGTCCTTACTCAGGTTTTAACACCATTATACATGTCCTTAATTACCCTAGTATAAGCTATAGGAATACCTCTAGACTCCAAACATCTCTATAGAACCTCCCTTGAAACTTTGTCGTATGCTTTCTCTATATCAATGAACACTATATGCAAGTCCATCCCTCTCCCTATACTACTCCACCAATCTCTTTACAAGATGGATAGCTTCCGTAGTTGAACGAGTCGGTATAAATCCAAACTGGTTTTCAAAAATAGTCACACTCCTCCTCACCCTAGCTTCCACCACCATCTCCCAAACTTTCATAGGGTGGCTCAGCAACTTGATACTGTAGACATGTGACTTTTGACCCTCCCCGAAATTTCACCCATTTTAGTATGTAAATATTTAATTTAGGCCTAATATCGCCATTTCAACTAATTTATACTATTTTACTTTATTTTATTATAAGAAAATGAAAAATTACAAAAAAATAGGTTTATTAATATTTTATAGTCATTTTTAATCTAAAAAAAATACAAAAATAGTACCCTATCTTTATTTTATAATCTTGAAAATACAAAAAAAAATAGTTTTATGTTTTATAGTTTAGTTCAATTAATTAAAATTAGTTTTATATTTTTATATTATAATTGTACATAATTTTAGAAGAAAGAATTAGTTTTAGGTTGGTTTATCCCGTTTTTATAAATCTTATATTCCATTTTTTTAGTCTTTGGCCCAAAATCCCTAGCCCATAGTTCCTAGGCCCATACCCCTAACCTAATCCCTACCCTATATAATACTACCTATGCCAAAACACACCTAGAGACCAAAAAATATTGAATCCGCCGTTTATTATCAAAGAAAAGAGTAGCGGCAGACCTTGGAAATTGATAAGCTAAGAACGAAGCTCCTCCTCCAATACCCATCAGCCATACACACAAACACATACAGAAGAGAGGACAAACAAAGGGACCTCTATTCTTCATCCTCAAATTCGTGAAGCACTCACCCACACCCCTATTTTTGGGGCTCTCATCTTTCTAACCAAGAACACCTCCCTTTACGCACAAAAACGCAGCTGCAACACCTCTGAACAACCACCAAAATGAGCAAATTTTTAGCTGCAAAAACCACTCAAAACCAGCTCCAGAACATCTCAAATCCAGCCTCAAACTCAATTATTAATCACCTTTAAACCCAGCAAAATCCAGCCATGAACTCCAAAAAATTACAGGCTGCAAAATAGTCCTAAAAATTAGCCTTCCACCTCCAAACACCATCGCTAAAGTTGCTGGATCGGGTCGAGATCAAGTTGAGGTCCATGTCGGGGTTCTCGGGTCGAGGTTTTTGTTCGCAATTTTGGTGGTGTTGTCGCATTCCATTTCTACTAGCTGAACAACTATTTTGTTGAATAAGATCTTGCTCAAATAAAGGTTCATCCTCTACTCTACTGTTTTTATTAGGCCACGCACTTGCTCTTATTTGTCATATACTATTTGAGATGTCTCTGTTAGAAGTGAGTATTTAGTTTAGTGATTCAATTATGGTGCTTGAGTTGTTGAGATCTTGTTTCATTATTATTATTTGAACTTTACTTAATGCAACTATGTATGAAAAATGTTTTAACTGTTACTGTATGTTGTTCTCATGTTAAAAGGTCTCATTAGAATAGGTATTTGGATTTTAACAATAATATTCTAATGTTAAGGGATTTGTGGCTAGTAAGGATTCTGGCCATTTCATTTTGAAGTGGAGAGTTGATTTGTTGGGTCAAAAAGTTAAAAGAATTATGAGTTTAAAATATTTTCCTATGTCTTATTCGTTATCACAGTCACATTAGTAAGCTTTAGGAATGAATTATTGAGGTGCAAATGCTAAAGAAAAATCATCATGTCAACTAAATCACATTACCTCTCCCTCGATATTCTTCCATAACTCATGACCCTCACTTAATCACTTTGACGCTTTAGAAATCGGGACGTGCCATTTAGCAAATTTTCATAGCCTCCTGCAAAGCTAATAACGCGTTAGTTGCTTTAGGCGCGTGCTTTAATAATTTTACCTTCCTAAACTCGGGTGTGAATTTCATGTGACCCAAATCCAAATCTTAATAACGTTGAATAAAATGTGTTTCGGATTGCGGGTGCATTTCATGTGACGCGGTCTAAAGACATGTTTTAGACGACGTTAAAGCTTCTTTAAAATAAATAAAAGCGGTTTCGAAGTTAAAATGCACATAGGTTCAAAATGTTTTAAATCAGATAATTAAGCCAAATATAACAGTTGAGCGACCGTGCTAGAACCCATAACTCGGGAATGCCTAATACCTTCTCCCGGGTTAACAGAATTCCTTACTCAGATTTCTGGTTCGCGACTGTAATACAGAGTCAAACCCTTTCCTCGATTCGGGATTCAAACCGGTGACTTGGGACACTATAAATCTCCCAAGTGGCGACTCTGAATCTTTTAATAAAATGAATCCCGTTTCGATTGTCCTTTAATTGGAAAAACTCCTTTTATTATACCCTTCACGGGGTGTAGTAGCGAAAAAGGAGGTGTGACAGATACCCCTATAGTTATTGTAATTTTGGATATCATCCATGTTCTTGTATAACGAAATCATCGTACTTCATATCCATTATTCGGGCATCTTCTTTGTCCTAAAAATAATGTTAAACAAACTAGTGAGCCATTTCAAGCCTATCCTGCTCGCGAACTTCCAAAATTTTACTAGAATTTTGTCTGGCCTTGTCACTCTCTCCCTCCTCATTTTATGCATAGCCCCAACTCGAATTTCATCTATTACATATGAGTAAAGTAGGATATTTATGTCACGACCTAAACCGATGGGCCACGACGGGCACCCGGTACCTTACTCAACCGAATACCAAAACGTATCTTTCGTATCATGCTATCATAGGTAAATGAAACGGAAAGACTGCTGTGAGATAACTAGAATGAAACATGAGGGAACACTCAACATAGGACGACCCAACATGTAATACAAACTTATACATATGACATATGGGCCTATAAAGCCAAAAGATCACTCGTACACTGAACATAGGCCGACAAGGCCATACAATCTTTCATATACATGACATATGTCTACAAGCCTCTAAGAGTAGATCAATACCATAAAGGCCGGGACAGGGCCCCGTCATACTAGTCAATACACGTCCAAATCATACTAACCAAATAAGCAACTCCGGAGCAAATGGAGCGCACCAACATCTTCCGCTAAGCTGATAGCCTACTTGGAGGAGTCTCAACCTGTTTATCGGACCTGCGGGCATGAAACGGAGCGTCCGCAGGCAAAAGGGACATCGGTGCAAATAATGTACTGAGTATGTAAGGAATGAAAATTAGTAAATAAAAGTCGTGAGAAAAACATGGAGTAAAAGACTCGACATGTAAGTCTGAATAGCTCTGTGAATCATGGTATTAGTTATTACTTTAGCCTTTCATGGACGCTATGGAATATCCATGATACAATCATCTAATAATTCAATCCTTTGTCTATAACCTGGACTCAATTCTTTCTTTTAACTTATAACGGAGTCTTCTACGGCTGTATAATTGTCAACATAAAAGCTACATGGATAATACTCCAAAATCTTAAGTGCGTTCATAACATAACTAGCTCTGAATCATTGATCGAATAATTCCTTTTGTTCCTTCTCAACTTTCTTTAAATGTAAGCAATTACTTTTCCTGGTCGTTGTGCCACTTGTTGCATGAATACATGGCTTATTTTAGTGCCCACACATATTGGAATTACATACAACCCATATGATCTTTAATATCACCTTTTGATTTTACTTCCCGTTCATTAGCCACGGTAGGTTCCACTTTCTTATTAAGTGCATACAATGTTGTACTGAGACAATTTTTACATGACCATTTCTTCTTCAAGTTACTATGCTTAGGTTGAAGCCTCCTCCCTTATTTCCTCAGCTAGTCTTTCGTTGTAGTACTTAGGGAAGACCCTCTAACTCTTGTAAAGCTGCGAGCTTATCACATGGTGTTCCCGATAGAATTTTTTATGTCCTTCCTCGCCTATAATTATCCGTAGTTACTTACCTCTACGCCCTCGTGCTTGTAGGGTTGCTTCTGAACTGATATTTTGACTGTCTTCCTAGTGGCACTCTCTTTTGTTTCCATAACACTCATACGGTACCTTTAACTACCCCAACTCCTATCTGAATATTTCTCAAGGGTCACGATGTCATTTATGCGAGACTGAATTCCCCATGTTGGGGTTTACTATGTTTATCTTGCATGATCTGTTGATTTGTCTGTATCCTCTTGTCTATCCATAACTAGGCTCTTCCTGAATCAACTACTAACTACTCGTTGGCCCATTCTCACATCAATATTCCGCGTAATCTTTCTTGGGTTATTTCCTTTGTCTTAACTTACCTCTTGCACTGGATCCTTATTTATCAATAATATCTCGGGTAGGAACCCTTACTTCCTCTCCTTGGTGTCAGCTTGCATAATGTTCTGGAATCGTAGCATATATGTAGGATTTGGATAAGAGCAATCTCATCCCTTTCTCAGTTTTATCGCGTTCTTCCTTTACTATCCCATAGTTACTAGAACCACTTAATTCTGACTTAATGCCACATCACTCCAGATTCCCCCCCTTTAGGGGAATACTAAGAGTTAGAGCTACGACGATCTATCTATAGATGTTTTACCTCTTCACCTTTGGCGTCTTTTCACATCATCAATGACCCTTACTCGCCTTGCAGTAATCCTTCTGTACCAAGGATAACAAAATTCCTTACTCACGGGGGAGACACCTAGTTCAACTAGCACACACAGTCCCTTAAGCATAACTTTGCTCACATTGCTTGCTCTAGGGAAGCGTTTTCCTGAATGACCATTCTCTGAATTTCTCATGAATATTCTTCTGTCGTCCATTCTATTATTGCCAGAACGCAATCTGAAGTTCTCATGATGCCGACTATTATCAAATCACTCAGTCCCTAATTCTTGTTTAGGTTAACTTGTTCACCAGCACATACTAATTTCTAATACTCTGGGGTCTAACTTTTTCTTCTGGTAATCACGTTAGAGTCACGAGCTTATTTCTCGAAATGAGAATATGACTTTATCGCCTATACTCTTTTGTTGTCTCAAGGCCTGTCACCTCTCATCTTTTCCTTCCCTTAACTATAGACTCTGTAATGCTGTCATTTTTTTATCTACCGTTGTCATCCATGTATCACATCTTACTCATAATGCTTCATTAACTCTCTTGTTATTTCCCTGCTAACATTTCTATCTATCACTTTATTCTGAAAACTTCAACAAGGCATTTTTTTGCTTTAGCTCCCCTTGTTCCATCCACTGGCTCTTCTGGTTTCCCAACATTCTCTCTCTACTAGGGACGGGAGCCACACTAAGGTAATATTTATCCTTTCCAGGATTCCAGTGCCTGTCTTTGTAAAATTTTTTTGAACACTCTAGTATTCATATCTAGCTGTACTATTGTAGAGTGCACCATCTGGGTGTCTCACAAGGAGATCTATTGGCACATTTTCAATATCCTTCAGAAATGTCAACACAAACAATCCATTCACCATTTTGGGTACTCTAACCCCAGCCGGATCCTGATATCCCGTCCGTCTCTTAAACTATACCTGTTAGCCCCCATAGGGCATAACTGAAATGGGTGTGACCAATTGTACATACCTCTATTACTGTCGAAGGTAACTCAAAATGCTTATATCTCTTTTCCTGAATTGTAGATAATGATCATCTTCACTAACTAGGTACCTCTTACCCTTCTTCACCTTGCTTCTACTTGTTGAAACTTGTACCTTCTGATTCTCTCGATGCTTTTTACCATATGGGTGGATAGATATTCATTCCGTAGGGCTCCTTAACAAGTACACGTCTTAGTACACACATGTTCTGCTGAAGACCTCACATTTATCCATTATAAGAATGATGCAATATCGAGTTCCTCTAACTCAACTCTTCCACAACCACATGCAATCTCTTACCAACTGTCTTTTGGATGTAGGTATTGTCTTATTACGAATAAAATAGAATTTAGGAGTTTGAATTCTTACAAGTAAGCTCTACCACACGATCTTGAGTAAGAAGAAAGAGTGACAGTCCTAAATGCCCTGTAGCCTCCTGCTTATAAGTGTGGTGCACAACACACCCATAAATAAGACTCTAGTAGACACGGCTTGTAGACTCCCTAGGACAGAACTGCTCTGATACCACTTTTGTCACGACCCAAACTGATGGGCTGCGACGGGCACCCGATACCTTACTCCCGAGTACCAACGTAACGTATCTTTCGTATTATGCTATCACAGGTAAATGAAACGGAAACGGTACTGTGAGATAACTAGAATGAAACATGAGGGAACACTAGAAATAGGAGGACCCAACATGTAATACAAACTTATATATATTGCATACGGGCCTATAAGGCCAAAATGCTCACTCATACACTGAACATAGGCCGACAAGGCCACCCAATCTTTCATATACATGACATATTTCTACAAGCCTCTAAGAGTAGATCAATACCATAAAGGTCGGGACAGGGCCCCACCATACTAACCAATACACATCCAAATCATACTGACCAAATAAGCAACTCCGGAGCAAATGGAGCGCACCAACATCTTCCGCTGAGCTGATAGCCTACTTGGAGGACTCTCAACTTGTCTATCGGACCTGCGGGCATGAAACACAACGTCCCCAGGCAAAAGGGACATCAGTACAAATAATGTACCGAGTATGTAAGGAATGAAAATCAGTAAATAAAAGTCATGAGAGAAACATGGAGTAAAAGACTCGACATGTAAGTCTAATTAGCTTTGTGAATCTTTTAATATTTAAAATGTCATGCATATGCGTATAAATGTCATACCATGCATAGGTATATATGTACATAACATCATCAAGCCTCTGAGGGCATCCCATCATATCATCTCGGCCACTGTGGGCAAAATCATCAACGTATACCAGCTGATCAGGTGGTGGTACTTATATAACGCTGTAACCTTTTCCCATATCCCATATATACATATAATATACGCGTATATAATGCCATCTGGTCATGGGTCAATGTACGTGTATAAATGAATGAAATGCATAAGAAGTACGTTAATAAAATTTTCCTAGAATGTCATAAGATCAATATGCCTTTGGATAAATTTTATCAACTACGTATTTTTCTGAGACCCATGAACAGAAGATATTAAGACACATGGGAAATCAATAACATAGGCACCTCTAGTATTTCTATGAATAGAGTCATTTATGAAAGTTGTGCATTTGCTCGTTGCGTTTGTATCGTCTGGATCATGCCAAAAGGAAAGAAGGGATAGCCTTAACATCCCTGAGCCGTTTCTCTTGAAAATCCCTCTAACACACGTCAATTGCGACAAATCACGTAACGGCGGATCGAAGTAGGAAAAAATCCGTATGATATTCTTGAGAAAGATTGCACCGTACTCCCTTAAAATCGCAATTCTCACGTTGCTAAGTAGTCTTGTATGAATTTTGTAGCAAATTACGTTGCTAACACTTTGTATGAGTTTGCTGAAGCATTTTGCTTTGCTATGAAGATTGGATATTTCACTCTTTGAATTTTTAGATGTCTTTTACCTTAGTGGGTGTGGGCCCCACTTAGGTGATGAGTTAGCTAGAAAAATACGCCAAATGTGCCACCTATACACTTAACCAAGAGTCATTGTTCGGGTGGTTTCTTGCTGCCACGTTGGAGGTTGTTTTCACCACAGATTTACCTAGTAATCTCTAATTAATTGGCTAATGTCCCACTAAAATCAACAATTAATCCCTTACCAATTTAATTAAGAATTATCTCAAATTACTTAAAATACTACTTACTTTTAACACACTTTATACACCTTATTATCATGGTCATGTGATACCTTGTATGGCACTAGTCCATAAATATCGGGTATTATGGCTAGGACCGTATTTTATCCCAAATTGTCAAACTTTGACGAAACTCATTTTCTTCGATTCGCTTACCCTCTCACCTTCATGAATTTACTTATCATTTATTTGAAATAGCATAATACTTATATCCTCAAAATAATCTTGTTCGAGTCTACGTCAATTAACTTACGACGAAATTTTAACGTACGAAAATGCGGAATGTAACATCTCATTTCCGAGCTTACATAAATTTACTTATGGTGTACTTTCACGTACGAAAACATTGGGTATAACAATTTATAGCCTAGGGGGGATGTTGATAAGTGTAGATTTTAACCACTTGTTAGTACCTTCTTGCTTTATTTTTAGTCTGAAAGTAATGAATTTTTTCCCAAATATAATTAAATTGTGTGAATTGTAGGAATTTGGAGGATTGGAGCTCAATGAAGAAATCTAATTAAAAAAGAAGTATTCCAGCTCAAAAAGGCGAAAAGGAGAAATACAAGCAGAAGTGCGGTCCGCAAAAGTAATTCTTCGACCGCAGATGATCATGCGGACCGCAGATGAAGCCTTGAAGCCTCTAACGAATTTTGTAGAAGCGCGGTCCTCACACCAAATTGTGCGATCGCAAAAGCTGGTCGCACTGACAAAGTTTGACAAGATCAGAGAAGGTGCAAAAGACCAAGTGTGAAGCCTCTTGAAAATGCGATCCGCAACCAAATTGTGCGGCTGCAGAAGCGGAAGTGCAGCTAGAGAGATAATTTTACCACCGCAAAGTTCCTCCTATTTCAAGAGAAGAAGAAAAGTGCGGTCCGCATATGAAATTGTGCGGCTGCAGAACCTCCCGAAGGACATTTTTATCAGTGAATTTCTGAATACTATAAATAGACAAGAAATACTTTTCTGGGGCAGCTTTTGTCTTCCTAGCAGCTGTAGTAGTTATATTTTAACCTTTTGGGAAAGTTATGATCAAAATTGGAGAAGACCCATTACTTTTATCTTTTAATTGTAGTTTATGTCTTTAATTGCTTCTTCTATTGTGTTTTCTATGTCTTCTAGCATGAGTAGCTAGGTTTTATCTAGGGTTGAGTCAGTGTAAAACTTATGGGTTGTTAAGAATAATGCTTCTTTATGATTAGGTATTTATTATTTAGCCTTGTTTATGTTTTTTTATCTAGAATTAATGGTTTTAAATATTGATCATGCCTATTTGACTTAGTTCTTACTTGAGAGAGAGGAACCTAGTGTTAAAATTAGATAACAATCATCCCTCTTGTTTGGAAATACAATTTAGCTATTTCATGTTCTTTCATCAAGTATTTACCTTAATACCGATTATAAACTCCCTGAGAAATTTGATCCCGACTCAAGTTGGGTATTATAATTGCAACGACCGCTTCCAACTTATTAAAGAGTGTGTTTGGACGTGATCAATTTTTGGCACCATTGACGGGGAGTTTTTACGGTGTTAGCTATATACTTGAGTTTGTTTTTTGGAATATATTCTTTTACTTTTGAGATTTTAATTTGTTGAAGTGATCGTAGGTACCTAATGGAGAACATCGAACTTGGAAACATGCCATTGGGAGAGGTGGACGGCCAAGAAGAGCAACTTGATGAAATGCCTCAAGCTCCACAACAAATCGCCAAGGCTATGTTTAATAAGACAATGTGCCTCCACCC